AAGAGTTATCACCTCTGACAATATCTGTATCTGAGATTAATGGTTTAAAGTAGTGAGTTATCGTTCCTAACATAGTGTCGCTACATGTCCCGGTCCTTGTGATACTTCCGCTTCGTAGTAAACACACGTGAAACAATAACGATAAGAGTACATAAGTAAGTAGTAAGTTGAATTAGAACACACAACAATGCCCAGTAGTTGCTGCTGTGTACCTGGATGTCATGAAAGAGGCGGACATCAGTTCCCAACCGAAAAATCAAGGAGAGACAAGTGGATTATAGCAATTAAACGCTTGGACGAACATACGAGAAAGTTATGGGAGCCTTCCAAGTCTACCGTTGTATGCAAACGACATTTTAAACCTGACGATGACGTGACAGAAACAATACAAGGTATTGTGAATCAACATTGTTTTGATCACTATCGAATGTTGAAGCAAATGAAAAGATAACATTTCTTGCAAACTGTGTCAGCTGTGTGTATAGCCGATTTGTATTTTTATACAACCCACTTTTTTTTTATTTTCGTGTTCTTTTATCTTTACCTTGCATTAGAAATTTTCATTAAAGCACACATATGTGAAAACGAATAAAATTAGCGTTTTTAGTATGAATAGATATACACTGCATTGTTGATCAACAGGACAGAAACCATTACATGGAAGACTAAAGAGCTCTTCAGTCCCTAGTATTTTCTGCTGGACAAAGTCATCGGCAGCATCAACTTCAAGATCTTCTCGGGTAGAAGGCCGGGTGCAGAAAAAGAGAAAATTTGAGGAAGCTTGCCATGATGACCTTGAGGACAGCATTAATGAATCAAATGTAGACTTTGTTGAAGAGATTGTGTCAGCTGATGAGTCAACAATCAATGATACTAACATTACATCATATAGTCCAGAATTTAGAGAAATGCAGACACAAACACAATCACAACCATTATTTTCAGTAGATCATTTTGAAAAAGATGATGCTGCCATTCACTTTTATACAGGTCTAGAAACATTTAGTAAATTTATGTATGTACTTCATTCACTTGGACCTGCTGCATATTGTCTTAGTTTTATTTTTTTTCCAGTGCAATGAGTGTCGATTCCAGATCAATTTTTTATGACTTTAATGAAATTAAGAAGGTACACTACAAACTTTGAACTTTCTAGATTTTTCAATGTATCTGAGAGCACTGTAAAAAATATTGTTTATACTTGGATTATATTCATGTCAAAGCAATGGCAAGAGGTGTCCATATGGCCGCCTCAATCCCTTGTCAGATATTTTTCACCTTCAGATTTTAAAGCTAAATTTCCTAAGACTAGAGCAATTTTAGATGCAACTGAGTTTCCTATTAAAAAACCAAGTTCACCAAGAGCACAACAAGCCACATTTTCAACCTATAAAAACAGAAACACGATGAAAGCTTTGATAGGTTGTACACCATGGGGTCTCATAAGTTTTATTAATCCAGCATATAGTGGTACAACCAGTGACAGACAAATTGTAGAAAGAAGTAGTTTGAAAAATCTGTGTGATCAAGGTGATAGTTTAATGGCTGACAAAGGTTTTAATGTACAAGATATATTTGCTACAAAAGATATTACAATAAATATTCCTACTTTTTTTAAAAACAGAAATAGAATGTCAGGTTCTACAGTTTTGCGTGACAGAAAAGTTTCGAGCAAAAGGGTTCATATTGAAAGGATTATTGGTTTAGGAAAAACGTATCAAATTTTAACACATCCTCTTAAAAGTACTGAGGCATGTTTATCATCAGATATTGTATTCGTTTGTTACATGTTGTGCAATTTTCGCACTGGAATTATTCCAGCAGATGCTTGATTGTTTTATGTAAATTAAGTGCATTTTAAATGCGGTTAAGTTCAATTAAAATACCACTTGACTATTGTAAACCCCTTTTGTCATTACTTCATATTACTGTATATTAAGGACAGAGATATCTTCAAAATTTTGAACAGTCATATCTCAAACTTTTAATCAAGTAAACATTACCAAGTCATAATATATGTACATTTGAGATTTGACTATTTCACAAGATCAATTGACTGTATGGAATGTGTAAGAACTTTTTCTACATGTACCTTTTTTTTACTGAAATTCAATGTCATGTCAGATTTTCACTCCTTGTCGTTGTAGGACTTGTAGTAATATTTTTCAAGTACTGCATCCTTGAAGAAATTGGTGTAAAATTTTTCTAATTTGTCTACCATTTCATGTATGAATGTATCATCCCGTTTGATTTGAATATACACAATGTCATTTACAGTTATATTATTTGCTAAACAAACAATCAGAATACAAGATTTTGCACCAGTACAAAGAAGTTGTCCTTGTATTTGATAAAAATAATCATGATTATTATCAAGAAAGTATTTCCCGTCCTGGTTTGTTTTCAAATATGGCACTGTAGTCGTTGAAATTTTCTTGTTTCTAAAAACATATGGACATTTCACCTCTACGAGTTCCTCTTCATTAATGATTCCATCTGGTGATGCAGCTAGAAATGGATAATCTTTACAAATTATTAGGCCACTTGCCTGCACATCTTTATGTTGATCATTTTTAAACTTCTTTATGGCAACTGATTCATGCTTGTGGCCGTGTTCAATGGCATTTGATTTTATATTTTTGGTAACTGTGAGAGATTGAGCAAGTTTTCTTTTGTCAGTTCTCTCTGTGCATTTGCATATCCGCCCAAATATTGATGAAGTTAAACGCTTCGTTCTCTCTGCTTTCCAAGTTTTATTATTGCCCTGCCCCATTGTTTGATGTTTGATCTTCTCAATTTGAGAATTGGATATATGAGATATGAATGATGTTTGAAGGAAATGGTCTTCAGGTGTCAGTTTTAGGTAGTCATGGTAATGTGCCACTGCCATCATATTGGCAGGGGTAAATATTTGGAATATTGGGACTTTAGAAATTCCAGGGAAATTGAGCCATACATTTTGGAAGTGACCAGGATATGCTGGGTTATTTTGAAATTTTTCTGTTCTTGGGTCAAAGTTGACAGTTGTAAATTCATCAGCACCAGGTAGATGTAGATCTGTTGATTTCATTGGGCTACCTTTAAATCTTTTACATTTATGAAAGGTCTGTAAACGCTGTGTGCAAGTTTCTTCTGTCTTGATGAACTTCTGTTTTGCAAATATTACCGCCCCATACATGACAGATCCAACATGTTTACAGTGTGCATTAGGCCCCATGCCTGCAGCATACTCACACTGAGCTTCCGATATTGACCCCTCCTCAGTTATTTTGAGATCAACTGTATACGACACGCCTTTTCTCATTTCGGCACGACACTTGCCTTTGATGTATGTGAAGGGGTTAATATCAATGGAGATACGGTAACACATTAAGAAATTATCATTGTACAGTTGAATAAAATGATTATCAAACTTCTTTTCAAATAGTTCAAAATAGGCTTGAACCGTTTCCATAGTCAAACCACGGAATGGGGAATCAGAATTGACGTCCGAGTATGTATCGTAATCAGGTAATATCATGTAAAAATCTGGGTCAAGCTTCTCAACTCTTCCAAAGTCGGCATTTCTATCGTATGCGTCAAGTCTGTTAAAAATACAAATACTCGGTTTTATCATGTTTTTAATAGTTTAATTTTGGAAATATTTGCGGCATTACTTGATTTACCACATTACAGAAATTAGACATGTTCGAGTTGGACATGTATCGAATTACCTGTCGACCAGTTCTGCTTTCCGACCCGATATTCTTGCATTTCGTTTTCTTAGTTCGTTTTTAAGCTCAATTATACTCAAGGAACCGTATTTTGAGTTATTCCTGATAATTTTCAACTGTATTGATCTTAAATACACACGTAATAAAATACAACAACGAACGAAAGTAATCTCGCATCCAATGTAAACAAGATGCTATGGACCGGGAATAGTATCGCCGCCTAGCGGGAGGCAGGGGAACGCAACTCACTACTATCTCCCATTCAATAGCCATTTCTGAAGTGTAATACATGTATATGAGAATGTTTCTAGTGTAACAACTGAAACTCCTCTATATTTAATTCTAAATGTTAAGTTTTTTTCAAATTAAAATGAAATGCCAATTAGCTGAACAGAAATTAATCGAAGTTACCTTCGTGCATATGAATGCAGCGTTAATGAGTAAATTCTAAACTTATGCATTGTATCAGCCAAATTTGGTTACATGTAATATGATAATGTATGAAGAGAAATTTGACACGCCAAACCCACCCCACCCCGAATGAAATCGGATATTCTGTCTCCCTTTGTTTATTTGTTTGTGTGCAGGAACATTTAATGAATGCCTTTACTAGAGTCATGTATTCGAAGTTTTCATATTATTCGCATTTTGAATATCTTCATTATCTTTATTTAATTGTCAGTGAACTCAAGTAAGTCTTTCCTTGTTTTGCAACAGGACACTATATTTTTTTTCCTTAGATATGAAGTAAGTAATAGTTTCGATTATAGTTTTACTTGGCATATTGTATTGGAACTTCAGTCGAAACTTTCTGTTATGTCAGACTTATCGTCTACCTTGTTTATTGTTCTACAAAAAAATTAACCGTATTATACCTTTGATCATTTGCTCCAACAACTGAATATTTAATGAAAATAATGTTCATCATTAGTTCTTAACAAGTTTGTTTTTATATGCCCATATTGAAATGAATTTAAATTAATTATATAAGTGTAATGTACTTGTATGCCGATAGGTAAACAAATAGAATATCGAAAGTGGAGAGAGGGGAGAGATGATGGTACATGTTTTTTTAATGTGAGGGAGACGCAGATTTTGCGAGAAGACAACAGTTTCATCTTAAATACTTTAATTTTATAGTTAATTGACATAATCTTATTCCTGGTGTATTCCTAGAAGAGAAAGTATGAACTCTGGTGCAAACTTTTCTATGTTTATTTACAAAATTTTTCAGTTTTTTAAGTATAGATTAAACAATACCACGTTTCGTTCTTAAGGTGATATTTCCTTAAAAGTTAAAAATATCTACAAGTCACTCAACATGCACAGATTTTCAAAGTATTTCACGGAGAAGAAATCTACTTCACGTATTATGAATATTAATTCTTATCGAATTTGTACATCTTCACACCAAGAGTTTTGAGTATAGGTCCAATAGGAGTTACAACTGTCTTGAAATCTGATGTGGCGCCCACAATCATTCCAATGCAATGTATACGATATTGTTCGCCCTTTGTTGCAGGTGAATCAAGTTGAAAAACAAGAGCTCCAGAATCTCCAGGCAGGGAAAAAGATGCACCTTCACCCAATATTTCAAGCTGATGATAATACTTAACCGTAGTTGGGGTTGTCGTGTGGCTTACATCTATTGGATCTGTGAAGCATTTAACAGATATTCCATTCAGGTGCAGTTTGCCTCTCGTGAATCCTGTTTTTGCTCCTATTTTGAAACATGGATATCGCAGGTAGGCAGAGTGATTTTCACAAAAATCTCGTACGCTACCATCACTATATTCAAGTGGTTCTTCAATGTTATAACCTGAATGATAAATGTTAGATGTATGGCAATAAATATTCATAAAAAATAAATAAATAAATAAAAACATAGAAGCTTGACCAAGCCTAATAAACTCGTATACAGGCGATGAAGGCATAGTGCTGCATAAGTGAGGGAAGTTGGTGATTATAAAATTAGAGTCATCACATTTATTATAAAGGTTGATTTTTTGATTACTAATAACGTCTTTTTCAAGAAAATTACCAATAATGAAACAACTGTGTCATCCTTTATGGTATCTTATTTTAAGCTCACCAGGATATACACATGTATCGTATCGACATTAGAAAGAAAATTACTATTGTTAATTGACAATACGTCGTCGAGATAATGATTCCTAATGCTTGAATATATGACTATTTTTAAGTGAGGAAATTCAAAGGTATATAATTATCCATACCATTTTCCAGAATGCTAACGTCTTCAGCAGTAAGATTGGAAAACAGTCCTCTATCAGGTATTCGACTCGTAAGTTTTACAAGGGAAACATCCAGTGTGCATGCTGGGTATGGTGTTTGGGGAAAACAGGACAAATGATGAATACCACAAATATTGTTGGTACGTTTACAACTATAAGCAGGCTGCACAACATTGAACTGTTTCTTTTCATGGCACTGGCTTGATAAATCAAAGAGGACGTGAGCACATGTAATGAATCCTATATCCCCAGTGTTAAAACTGACAAATCCTCCAAGGGTTCCTCCTTTTAAGAAATCTGCATAATTATAATTTTTAACAAAATAAATAATTTAAAACAAAGCAATACATTCACTGGAAACATCGTTTAATGATTCTTCATCAAGGGGCCTATGGGCCACATCGCTTAACTGAGCAGATTGGCTTGGCAAAAACCAGTTCAGTTAAAAAAGTTTACATTGGAGGTGGGTCTTGAATTCAAATCTGAAGCTTTCATATCAATATAACAGATAGCTTTGTTGTTCTTGAGCAGAATATTTTTTCATATTTATTCTTGATTTGTAAAAATTTGATCCCCCATTGTGGTCAAGCCCAAACCCAAAGGACCCTCATTTGAACCAATTTCTTTCTATACTACCTAAGAATACCTTCCTATCATGAGTAACATCGAGGCGACTCATTATATTGCTTTTTCCAAGGTCATACCTGAAGGAAATATTCTGTAACTTGAAAGGTGTTGCTGCTTTCCATCAATCAAGAGTGTTATAAAAAAATCTTGTTGATACAAGTACATAGAAAAAAGTAAATAAATAATATTAAATGCATGTACTTGTTAAAGGTCACACACACTTCATCTATGTTCAGACGAGATTTATGTGCTGTAAGTAAATTCTCGTATTTTCATATAAATTAAGGATATGGACAGATTCAGAATTGTGAATTTTTATAGGAAAAGAGTATTTCCTTATTGTTTGGGTATATTGATTGATTGTATATTGTTTAACGTCTCTCTCGAGAATTTTTCACTCATATGGAGACGACACCGTTTGCCGGTGAAGGGATTTAAAATACCTATACTCGGCGCTCAGAGCCATTGAGCATTGAGGGTGCTTTATCGTGCCAGCGCCTACCGTGACACGGGACCTACGTTTTTAAGGTGATATCCGAGAGACCCGTGACTTTCACTTCTGATGCCGAGCGCTTGGCGAAGGAACAGTCACTACCTAGTTTTACGTCTTAGGTTTGACGCGGCGCCGGGAACGAGAACCTCCCGGTCACGAATGAAGCGAATGCTCTACCACTAGGCTACCGTGAACGGTGTGTCTGGGTATAAGACTAACTTTTAATACTAACTTTTAAATATTCCTCAAAGAAACTAAGAGGGGGACTGTTCCATTTTTTTGTTGCCACGACTTAATTAATGACTTTAAGGAGAAATAATGGTATAAGAATTTACACACAAAGAAGGAAAACATGAGAAAATTCTGTTGCAAACTTGTAATCAACTATTTCGATGATAGACGGCAAGTGGTGGCGTCTCCACATGAGTGAAAAATTATCCAGAGGGACATTAAACAACATACAATCAATCAATCATTTAAATGAGAGAAAAATAGAACAGTTATAAACTACAGTTGTTTATATTTGCGACGAAAGAACTTTAAATAAGCTTTAATTGAAGCAAAATAACATTATTGTCGTCCTGTGCATTATGGATTTCTTATATAATGCATAATGTTGTACAGAAAAAATTCTCCCGAACAATTAAAAAAATATTTTGGTTTTATTAGTCATAAGGCTTGAAATTATATACAAATTAATCATTACTCATTTTAATAGCAAAATAATTTTCTCAAAAATGCAGCTCATATTGCTTTATTGGTGGAAAATGTTTTGGCTTTGGTCCCAAAAATTGTAGAAGAGTCCTTGGGTGTAAAGGAAAAAAATGTGACTCGCCATCTACTAGTTGATGTCTTTGGCAAAAAATAGGACCATTTTAAACTATCTTTGCTGTTGGGAAATCTACAGTACACCAAGTGTACGATGCCATTATAAAATATCTGCTTGAATATTATATTAAAAATTATGTATTTTCAAGTAGAATGGAAAGGATGAAAAAAATCTAACAGTGATCGATCTAAAAAAGTGTTTAAACAAAATACAAATATGTAAAAAGGAAATTAACACGAACTCCTGGACATTCATGATGGGATCAGGAGGTTACTTACAAATGATTACCCTCACCGGTTTATTGAAATTCCTGTAACATAAACTTGTATGTGAGTAGCTTGCCTTAATTTAAAACAAAGAAAGGTAGAAGAAAGTCATAAAAAAGGTAAACGGTATCAGGGTTTTCCACATTTGAAAATTTAACCACGGAGGAAGCTGCGCGAAGGCGAAATGTGGCCGAAAACATGAATGCGTCTTAGACTTCCTAATCTTCATTAATCAATGATTGGTTTTACAATTTTTAAACTTACCTACTGCAACACAAAACAATGAATTATAACTAACACTTTTTAAAGATTAAAAAATAATAATTAAATTGAAAAGGATTTATCCTGTATCTTACCTCACAAATTGACCAAAATTTACCAAAAACTGTAGTAACCTTCTGAAGGAATTTAAAGAAAAATTGTTGATACAGTTAGTCAGTAACCATGGCAATGTTTTTCAGAAATTAATAATTATAGGAATTGTAGCCTGTTGTTTAAAATGTTTTGTTTCATTCAATATGTCTAAAATTGATGAATAAAATTTAATCATGGCGGATGCCGAATTTAACCATGGTGCAGCTCGTTTAACCATGCCGCACATAAATTTAACCATGGCGGGCCGCCATGGTAAAACCCCTTAAAGAACCCTGGGTAATGGGGCCCCAGCGATTGATGGAAGATGGAATGCATCTTCCTATCATAGGTCCGGAGCATTCAAAAGAAGAGAACTTCAATAGTAAGGACACTAGTTATTTATCCTACATAGATTTTATTTGCGACTATAGCTATGTCTTTAGAGACTTAAACGCTGGTTTTCCAGAAGGGATGCAAGATGCCCTCGTTTTTGCAAATTCGAAAATTTATCTCGGAGGGGATAATGGCTCCTTGTGTAAGAGTTCTGCCTTCTAGCCACCAAGTCGACCGTGTGGCGCAGTGGTTAGAGCGTCTGCTATTGAGTCGCAAAATAAGGAGTTGATCCTTACGTCGTGGGTTTGAATCCCATTGTTGGATGCGGAGACCGAGCCTTCGGATGAGTCCGTAAAAATTGAGGTTCTGATTTGCAGTAGTTGCTGGCATGAAAAAGATCCCTCCCTGCTCAATTGCCCTGAGTGCCGAGTCAAGGACAAAATTTGCAGCTCTCCACCGGCAACACTCTCCATATGAGTGAAAATTTCATTAAACAATATACAATCAATCAATCCACCATGTTTACGGACTGATATTTTACACGCCATTGCATACACAACAGAAACAACAGTTAAAATGGTAATTTACAAGATAAACAAAACAAAATACATACCTAAGTAAATTTGCTGCCTGTTCATACGTTACAATTTACATACATGAACTAATAGTTTTCTACAAAGTGTATGCAAAATTTAATTTTCACCTACTCCTGACCAGGTGTAAATTAACTCATCTGTGCAGAATTTGCATGTGGGTCTATCAGTTCATACGACAAAAATTGCACATGTAAGTAAATTTACTCATTTGTAAAATATACTGAGGTTTGCAAATCATGTCGTATGATTGGGGTATAAGGTTTCATAAAATGTACATGTAGCAGTCGAACAATATGATTTCAAATACCTTCAGAGCTTATACTAGCACCCATCGTCAAAGGATTGAGGACATCTGTGGCATTTGTGAAATATTCTTCCTTTGGAAACTGATAAAAGAAACCTTCCCTAACGTCTGTGTTCATTCCATTGACAGTTTCAGGAAATTCCGATTCTTTAAATGGTATTACCCCTTTACAAGAGCAGTATAACACAATGCATGGTTCACGAACAATTTCATCTCCATTTTTCTTAGATCGATAACTGGAAGCACTGATGATTTCTAAATTTGAGTGTTTCTCGAAAAGCTTTTTCGAAGTACTTACATCTCGTATACATTTTCGAAACTTAGAATAAAGGGCATCGTTACATTCAATACCTTGTTCAATATTTGTCACTTTAGCTCCTTCTAGTGGTGGAAATTTAAATAATTTGCAAATAATAGGAAACGTTTTTCCAGAAAAGTCAAATGTTTCTTCTTCAATTACTTTGAAATCGTCAATAACTAGCACTATAACTTCTCTGCTTGTTCCAGATGTTCTATTTTTTTCCACACCGAAGAACAGTCTAACAACTTTTATTTTCTTGTGTCTCGTCGTCAACCAATTCCGGATCTCCAACAATAGCTTCTCCTTGTCTAAAGAATCTCAAAACACAAAGTCCAAATTTACATATTCAACTAGAAAAAGATATTGTCTAGTGAAAATTATTTCTTTTTAAAAAGAATACTATATACAGGGAAATTTTCTCCCCCGTTTTATTTTTGCCCCTTTCGCCCTCCTCTTCATTGGGCGAATTTTAAACGGGGCGAATTAAAATTACACAGCATTAATTTGTTAAAGGGAACTATGACTGGGCGAATTTAAAACGGGGCTAAATTATTTACAAGTGCAAAAGGGCGAAAATAACACGGGGCGAAAATAACCCTGTTTACAGTATTCAAAAAACAAAAATTAGGCCGATTGTACACAACCCTGCCCTTTTGATATAAATGCATGAATCTCATAGTTTTGGACAAGGCCAGTTTCTAAGAATTTATATAGATACATGTATCCTGTTAAGACAAATTTTGCAGTTGTTACAATGTATGATTTTGTAAATCATTTTGTAATGAATTTATGAGAATAGACCAATATCAATCGAGCCCATCGGTACTAAATTGTAAAATTTGAACGGAAATGCAAAGTTATTATTAAGATTTTTGACCAAGAGTAATAAAATTGGGAAGTAGACAAGTAAAAAGACTTAGGACTAGAACTCCTGTAGTGCAGAGATGCGGACTGAGTCCAAAAATATTAATATGTATTTTAGAGTGGTGCCATGTTGGGGTTCATAGGTCAACAGACAAACCTACGGACAAAGCGTAGGTGGCATGTTATAGTAACTCACCAAATGAAATGTACTTTTATATCTGGGACCTTGAATACTCTCTGAGCATATAATACCCTGTTTTGTCGGAAAAAATTCTCTCTTTCTTGTTCTCATTATTCCACTCGTATTTTATTCTATTTTTGGGAATCATTCTTTTGCACTTTTATTTTTGTGGAGTTTAAGCTTTTACTGTTTTGAACGGGTCCATTATACATTTATACAACAGTGTATTGGTTTATTCGGATCAAATTTAAAAAATGTTTAAACATAAATCTATACGATCAGGGTAGAATTGTACATATTTGGATTAATAAACTTTGAACTCAACCAAAGCGTCATCATTGGCTTACAACTGACTAACTTAATTTTATTTCTGGACTTTAGTGCTTCTATTTTGTATTACAAAATTCCTATGAGAGTCCATGTATTGAAAATAAGGCTACGTGAAATTGCATTTGCAATGTTCATGACATTTGAAGAAATTTGATGAACATTCAGAACAGATTTCAACTTGTATCATTATTTTCTTTCATTATATATTTGAACATTTTGGATGAAAGCCATGAAAGGTTTGAGTCTATGCAAAATATTTATGATAATTTTCAGCCGTTTGTCAGGAACGTTTAAGGATTTGAGGATAATGACAAATTTCATGACATCATATTTCAGAGTCCAAGAAGAGGTATTGTTTTTCAACTTATTTCAACCTATTTTATTTTAATGTTATAATTTCTTACACATATTGTAGTATGTTTCAATATTTTTATATGTATCTATAGCTCTTAAATTGTGTTTACTTGTGTTTTATTGTACAGTGCTATAGAGTTAATTTATTAATATTTAGCACTAAATAAATTTATATATTATAAAATGACCAATTTTATTCAAAAATCCAAAAGACCAAAAAATATGCTTATTCTTATACCAACCACGTCTAGGAAAGCTGAAGATCATGATCATCATGACGATCGAAGTAACCGAGATACTTCCAAGAGTTATTCCAATAGTTGCATAAAGCTCTGTAATTAAATCAGTAAAATTATCACAAAATTTTACAAAATACAACAAAAAAGAAAAAAAAAATACAATTTTAATAAATATCGAAGAGCATAATTTTGTTTCTTTATTTATACATGTACAATTTAACTGAGTAAGACTTTAACATTAAATGCAGAGTACAGGTAACAACATTTATAATATTCAATTGCACTTGCGTGATAAAAAGTACATATACATGTACTACATGCAGTTCTGCATCAAAATCTAATCTGAGGACAGTATTTACAGTATAGATAGTTTTCAGTGGACACGAATTAACAAGAGTTATATCCCTTCGGCCGCCATATTGTGGGTCAACATGCTTATATTCCTTCATAATTCAACCAACTTTAACTTTTTATATTGGCTATTGTGGGCTGGGAAGCATTGTTTTTCTGACAAATATACATTTGTTAAAGCCTCCTTTATTTCATAATGTTTATTCCATAATGATTTTCTCCAAATATTTCTGCTACACCCTCTTATATTTGGTAAGACAAAGAGGGAAAATTACTTAGTTGACCAACAAGATGGCGGCCAAAGGGAAATAACTCTTGTTAATATTGGTCTACTGAAAACTATCTATTATAATATAATTCAGATATATGTTCGATTACGCTTCTTTATTTTTATTTTGTCATAATACGTTGTAATCTGTTTTATTTTGATATAGAAAGTTTACATTTAAGAAACCTTAACGTTTTATACCACACATACATCAAAGGCTTGAGAATCTGAAGTGTTGTTAATATTTTCAAGGATTTTCATCAGTATACCAAGACACATACATACTTAAATCTACCATTAAGGGTGTTTTCTGCTGATAATATTACCCCAAGTGGGTCTTCGTACTTAAACATGTCGTAAAATTCAAACTGATAACAGTTTACAATAAAGTTTTTAATGTTTTTTAAGTTTTTATGGGTTATATGTTTAACTATTAACATTTAAAATAAAAAATCTTCCTACGTTGTATAAATGACCAAGACGTTTGCAAAATTACGATATTTACGACATAGGCCAAAGAAAGATGACGCGGTAGAATAGGCCTCGAAGTGAAATCGAGAGGGGAAGATTAAAGACGGGATCGCCCGTTTAAAAGCGATAGGAATGTCGAATGGCCAACCGACAGAAATGTAAAAACATTTAAAATCGCCGATATCACAATTTAGACCTACATGTTCATTCTCGAAAGGGGTCTCCAACTATGCCGGCCAAGAACGTCGAAGTGTGTTGACGACGTTCCAGTAGCGAAAGTAGTAATGAAAAAGCGAAAATGTAGGTTTCCAATGCTTTTAAACTTATTGAAAACAGCAATATTTATACTTTATAGATACGAAAGTTTCAAAATACATAGTATACTGTCATATCACAAACTCAAACATAGGATAAACATGTTACATGATCATGTACGTAACGTTAGGTTAAGGGGTCTTCAGGTGCATGCAGACGACAACAATCGTATTGTCTTTTTTATTGCAACGTTAGCTCGTAATATGTGACACATTTTTCTTTGATAATGTAAATGCAGAATATCTATCCTAAATTTATAGACATACCGTAAAAAAATAATAACATAACATCTATAATTCTTAACTGTTTACATTCGATAAGAAACTACTTCGTTTCATTCTATGGCGACTATGCGGGTTAAAAAATTGAATATTTTTGAAACATCATAGAACATGTAGAAATCATTTGAGTCTAAACTACAGGCTTGGGTTCCAAAAAACAAAGCCAGATAGGGAAAAATAATGATTTAATATTTTTTGAACAATGAAATTACCAGTATTCATAATCTATTTTTTTCTAAAATATTTTTTTACAGGTAGGTCTTGTTTTCTGAAGAATCACAAATAATCTGCTCCGATTTATAGAAACAAATACTTCTTATTATTATCTGGTCCAGCATAGTTTTTTAACCTATTTTGAGTATGCTAAATCCGAAAAAAATATGCAGGTCTTCATGAAAATGGCGTTAAAGTGGTCAAAATGGCGATTAAAAATGGCAGACATTTTTTTTTCTAATTTTCTCTCATTATCGTTCAGAAAGGACAAATAATGTGTGAATGTCTTACTGAGTGTAATAAAATTATAAAAATGATAAAAGAATGCTAATATCATTAGTTTAACTCAGAAAATTTAGTCGTTTCTACATTTAATTCGAATTTTCTGATTTTTTTTCTTTTGTTCTATATTCTGCTTTTTTTTTAAGGATCTTACATTTGCAAACATCCATACAGATTTGTATTTTTTCCTCTTTATCTCACTATTTTACAATTGAATGATAGTGCAGCTATAAGTAAAAAGTCAAAATGGCGATTCTAAATGGCGGATAATCCTTTTTTCAAATAATTTGTAAAGGTCTTTTATATAGGAGAAAGGATTTGTGAATATCTTACTGAGCGAGTTCAATTAACTATGTAAAATTCCAATAGAACACTAATATGGTCACTTTAAATCGGAAAATTTAGTTGTTTAAAATTAAAAATGTGTTAATAAGCTCAAAATGGCAATTCAAAATGACGTCATTTTCACTCTAGTTTCTTAAAACACTCTAACTTCTTAATTTTGAGTCGTTTTGCAAAAAATAAATTACAGTTTGTTTTTTATATACATGTACCATAAAATATGAAGAAACAAAACATACTAGAAAAGATTCATTTTTTCTTGAAATAGTTAAAACAAATTTCCCCCTCGTATTTGACCGTGTTCCAAAGCCTTAATGCCCCCGTCCACCTAAAATCACCCCTGAATCCTGAGTATATCAATTCACATTTCTACCTCAACATCCCTCAGCACACCATCAAATATAACTGAAGAAATTTTTGTCCGATTTGATCGAATACTTTGTTCTAGCTTTTTAGCACTTATAAGAACTTAGTATTATCCCATAACATCTTCTATTCAAGCATTATTTGTTATATGTTTCAGTCTGTCTTCGGAACTTTGGTATTTTCAACACTCAAGTAAACTGGTGCACCGTGTCAAGGATGACAACCCACTTGGCACGTAAAAGATCGTTTCTTTGGAGTTCGCAAAAGAGTTAGCTCTCTGGGGGCCGCCAGAGAAACAAAAATCCTTCAAAAACCGATTATTTTAAACTGATAGTCCACCGAAACATGGTTCAAAAATTGCCGACTCAGCGTTAAACAATATACAATCTATCAATCAACACTCAAGAAACAACTCATTTATGTTTAAATGTTAAAAGTCTATTTTGCTTTCCAAAACTTATGCAAAATGAAGTAGAAGTAGCGTGAGCAATTAGCTAACTAAATGATACCCCCCGTCTCCCATATGAATATAATAATGACAGTGTCCATGTTTTGCAATGTGAAACCCAAAATATGTGTTGGATCAAAAAGTAAAATAAGAGGTGTACAATGGCAATATGTAATAAAGATTCTGTGAAAGTTTATCAAATTTCATTCAGTGGTATGAGAGGAGTTGCGGATAAGAGATGGATACCCCAAAACGTAAAAGACGGACGGACGGACATACCGATTACTCTATACATTCCCGCTTTTCAAGCCGGGGGGGGATTATCAAAAATCTCTGATATTCAAGACATGTAGCTCTTTATTTCGTGACCGCATACTATAGATTTGTTGTCTTTTAGGGTGTAAAGGTCATTCTATTAGCAATAACATTCTCAAACTTTATCATCTGGTTGGTGAGAAAAGATGTATAATTATGCAATTTAAGTGCGCCTGTAGATTCCTCGTGATTCCTATCACTTACAACTGAGTTACAAGCTTTCGTACTAATAGGCCTAAGCCATTCTTGACTTCGATTTGCCAACACAGACGTTGTCAACACTTCTCTTGACAACAAAACTTTCTTGTCGAACACTCCAAGAACTTTACAAGGAAACTTGATCAACACTTCTTTGTTAGCATAGTGTAAAGTTGTATGAAGAATCAAGGGAGAATTGAACACAGACATTTCTTCTTTCAGATTTTGAAAAATTTCAATTTTTAAAAATTTATATACACTGTTCAATACAAAATTGGTGGAGGAGGACCGTTCACAACATGAAATATTTGAGAATGCAGTTAAATTTTTGATTGAGAATAACACAATTCAGAATCAGACGTAGGCAATCAAGAAAATTTATGGTTTAGGCATGTATTCTGATAATTCTTAATAAATTTATTTAGATATTATAATATATTCAGATTTATATGATGTAACAATTACTAGCCCTCTAATTGGTCGTGGTTCATCATTTTAAAAATCATAGTAAGTAATGTTGCACTAGACCTTCCACGTGAACATAAACATTTATTTTTTTTTACACACTGGACTAAAAATGGATCAAGAATTTCCAACAACTGATATGATTTAGCAACCCTCGAACTACAATGTTCAGTCGCCTTAATGCTAGGGGAATACAGCTCTTGGGGTAGCTTAATTTTCATATTCCTCAAAGCAGCAATTATTGTATGATATTACTAACTTTTTATACGAAGAAGCATGATAAGATGGGTAATAGGAAAAATGTCTTCGGTATTGTCGTCTAAAATTTATAACGCAAGTAAGTTAAGGCTAGATAGATGCTTCTCTATGCAAATGAGGTAATGAAAATTTATAATTTGTGTAATTTTTACACAGAGAAGGTTCAAGCTCATTTTCTTACATATACGAGGGTCATTCAAAAAGTTCGTAGACTTTTGTCCTAACTTTTTTATTTAACGTCATATTATATCCAAATTTGGTACAAATATTTTAACAACAGGTTAAAATAATTTGAGTAAAAAAATTGGAATGTATCCTCATATTTATTAAAATTACCAAGGATTTAGAACAGCAAAAATGGGGTCACGGAGCACCGTCAAAATTGAGTAATTTTCTAATTTTCACTTTATAGTATTTACAGCTATATCTCTAATAAATGAATCTGAAACGAAATAAAATTTACATGTCTAAATAAAGTATTGTTGTATTAATTAAAATGAAATCAGGTTATGTAATATCTCCTTCCATTTAAAAGATATCAGCTTCTAAATACATATGGACTTGATTAAAAAAGGCAAAAAAACAATGACGTTGGAGGACGTCACGGAGCAGCAAGTAGCAATAAAATTATACTTTACATTCGGGAAACTTTTTCTACAAGCTTAAAAAATCCTTAATGAATCAGGATCTGTATGAAAAAAATCTGTGTATTGCATTAAGTTGAAAATACAATTTTTGAGTGGTAGCGAGTTTGAATCGGACGATGGATTGTCTGCAAAGAAACAGGTTAAAGTTAAAAATATTGTCAAAAGAGTTAGGAACGTTATTGAACGTGATGTGTGCTTCAATGTTGCAGAAATAATAAAGTTGCATGGTAAATGAAAGAATTTGAAAACAATAACATTCTAATTTAAGCTATATTTGTACAATTGTTGGCAAACCAGGTGTTAAGTATTGTGGATATGTGTTTTGAAAGGAGAAGACGCAACAAACCGTGTTTGAAATAACAAAAATGTGTATACTTTTGAGAAACTTTATCAGCCTTGATTTTGACGTTACAATATTGGTTAACCGTGCGCCGTGGTAACAAAAAAAAGTTGCTGTTAATTTTGGCTAACGTGAGTTCTGTTTAATCAAATGGAATGAAACTTCACACTTCGACAAAATAAATGATTATGTTTACGAAAATGTGTTGATCTATAATCTTGTAATAATCTTATGACGATGAGAAGCATTGTCTACGTATTTTTTGAATGACCCTCGCAGCATGATAAAGCAACTGCACACTATGACGTCATATTATGACGTCATTGATCTTTCCCATACAAAGTACTAAGCAAATCAACAAAATTGCGCCGGTGCAAGGGCATATCCTATATAATTTTTAATAAATAAAGCA